AAGTCCTTTTCCCATTTTCTAATTGGGTTGGGTGTCTTCTTAGAGTGGAGTCGTGTAAGTTCTTTGTATATTTTAGAGATTAAACCTTTGTCTGAGGTATCATTGGCAAATATGTTTTCCCATACAGTTGGTTGTCTTGCTAATTTAATACTGTTTTCTTTAGCCATGCAGAAGCTTTTTATTTTGATGAGATCCCATTTGTTTATTCTTTCCTTTACATTCCTTGCTCTAGGGGACATATCAGTAAAGAAGTTGCTGCGTGAAATATCTGAGATTTTCTTGCCAATGTTCTCCTCTAGGACTTTAATGGTGTTATGACTTACATTTAAGTCTTTTATCCACCTTGAATTTATTTTGGTGTATGGTGTAAGTCTGTGCTCAAGTTTCATTTTTTTGCATGTAGCTGTCCAGTTCTCCCAACACCATTTGTTGAAGAGGCTATCTTTACTCCATTTTATGTTACTGCCCCCTTTGTCGAATATTAATTGACTGTAGAGAGTTGGGTTGGTTTCTGGGCTCTCTGTTCTGTTCCATTGGTCTATGTGCCTGTTTTTATGCCAGTACCAGGCTGTTTTGATTACAGTGGCCTTGTAATACAGTTTGATATCAGGTATTGTGATCCCCCCTACTTTGTTCTTCTTTCTCAAAAGAGCAGCTGCTATTCAAGCTCGTTTATGGTTCCATATAAAATAATTTAAAAATCAATAAAATATACAGAGATCTCTTAAAATTCACCAATAAAACAATAAATAATACAATTACAAAATAGGAAAAGATCTGAAAGGAAATCTCACCAAAGAAAGATATATAGATGGTAAATAAACATATGTAAGGATGCTCAACATCATATTTTGCAAATATGGAATTGCAAATTAAAACAATAAGGTTATCGCTACACACCTACTAGGATATGTAAAATCCCAACTTATGACAACACTAAATGAGAGTAAGGATGTGGAACTGCAGAAACTTTCATTCATTGCTGATTGGAATGGAAAATGGTACAGCCACTTTGGAAGAGAGCCTGCAGTTTGTAACAAAGGTAAACATAGTTTATTAAATAATCCATCAATTACACTTACAGTTATTTACCCAGATATGTCTTGACTTTTCAATTAGTCCCGTAAGATTCTGCCTCAGGAAATTTCTTCAGCCTGGTCTATTTTGCATTTACTATCTTTAAGACACCAGTTTAGCTCTGTTTCTTGGCATCCTCTTCTAACCTGATTAAGTTTGGATATAGTTTCAGATTGTTTATTTTAGCCTTGATTTGGCAAATTCTTAGGATGTTATTTCTGGCTATTGGCCATCAGATTAACATTCCACAAACAGGGTCAACATTTGCCGCACCCAACCAACCAAGCCCTTTGGACTTGCCAGCAAGTTTCATGGTGCCTCTTATTTTTGTCTGTCTGGGAATGGTTATCTTAATCAGTAACTGTTAAAGACCTTAGCAATCTTTAAGGTTTAGCTTAAGTACCACCTCTCTGTAAAGCCTTCATTTACAACTCCATGGAATATTCATGGTCTAAACTTCTTCAATTTTTACTTATTTCCCCATCTACTCAAAATGTGGTCAAGAAATTTCAGATAAACATTAATTTTCAACTGTAATGGCTCATTTTTGGTCTTAATCTTATTTGAATCCTTTATACAATAGCATATAAACTGGTATCTGCTCCCTTCTTGAAACTGTCTTTGGCTTCTTTTTAAATTTTTTTAAATTGTGAAGTGAAGCATACACACAGAAAAGTGCAGAAAGCTTATGTATAAAGTTTAATAAGTATTGTTAAACAAAGACTTGTCTCAAGAAATAGAACATTTATAGCATCACAGAAGCTGCTCGTGTGACTCTCCCCAGCGCTAACTCCTACTCTGCTTTATGCCAGAGGTAACAATTATTCTGGCTTTTCTCTCGATGTTTTTCTGTGCATGCATCCTAGAATAGTTTTTTTTTTTATTTCTAATATTTAATAAAGGGAACTCAATATTGTTTGCGAGATTCATCTATGTTGCCGTGCATATCTGTAGTTTTTTATCACTGTTGTGTATATCCCATTGTTTGGATGCAACCTACTGCATTTATATATTCTGTTAATGGATTGTTGGGTTGTTTTGAATGTTTTGTCTTTACAAACAGTGCTTCTTTAGGTATTCATACACATGCACACATCTGCATGAATTTCTCTAGGGTCCAGAGAAACTGCTATGTCATAAAATATGGCTATTTTCAACTTCAATAGAAAATGACATGCTGTTTCCAAGTAAATCTTCCAATAGTATACCACTACTAGTACTATATGAAAAACTGGTATGCATCACACCAAGACACAGAATTGTCAACCATTTCAATTTTTGCCAAGGGTATAAGAATATACAGATATCTCATTTTGGTTTGAATTTCCATTTCCCTGAGTCAAGCACCATTCCCTACATTTATTACCCATTTGGATTTTCTCTTTTGTTATGTGCTTGTTCAAGGGTTTTTTTCCTTTTCTATTTTCCCCTTTTTTCTTAGGATTTATAGATTTCATGTTTTGTGCCTCCCACTCTCTCTTTTAATAAATTGCCTGATGTTAATGTGATAAAATTTATTAGTACTTTATATTATTGTTAAGAAATTGTTTCCTTACTTGGAATCAAAAAGACAGTTGCCAGACAGAATAGAGATAAAAAGCAGGTATGTAATCTCACATGTCTGTGATTGGAAGTTTGTGATTTCATCTTTTTATTGTTTTTAAACCTTTGCTTTCTCTTTTTCTGATTCTTAAGTGCTAATTTTATGCAAGGCTCTATCTGAATGCTCTTTCTTGCTCTCTACTTTTCTCCCTGATAAATTGAAGGCTTTATTATTAGAGTAGAGGAATACAATGTAGTGATGGTCCAAGTAATTTGAAGTTACTAATGTTTGAGATGCCAAAGTTTGTAAATTATTTTAAGGATTCATATTTGCAGTATGTCTCGATATCTGAGTTTCCTAAGATCTTATAAGTTATTTTTCTTTCAAGCTTTTCTTTACACACTTTAGATTATTTGTTCAATTTACATGAAAATAATGATGTTAAAAATTTACAATTGTGTTGACTGCATAGATTAATAGTCTGTTTAGACTATTAATAGTCTGCATAGTCTGTTTGCATGAGGGAATTTCATTTTCTCCTTATCGATTCTGATACATAGCATACTTTTTATATAAGATGGGAAAGCTGAAACCTGCTGATAAATAAGAACAAAAATAATATTTATATTTGTATCCTTGCTACCAAGCATAATATCATTCAATAAATTGTTCATCAAATCAGTAAACATTTGTTAAGTACTTGCTCTATGCTAGGCACTGTGTCAGGTGCCAAAGATACAAGATAGGCCTTTCCCAGGGAAGATTCACAGTAGGAAAACTGCTTTATAAGTATATAATTACAAACAAGAGTCATTGTGCTTTGGTGTATGTGATTAAGGGGAAAAAGCGGTCAACTATATTTGGAGTGAGGGGGTGTGGAAAAGTTTTAAAATCCTTGAACTGAGACTTTGGAGATAGAGTACTCATCGGATAGTCAGGAGAGACAAAGATGTTTCGTGCAGTAGGAAGAATAAGAGCATTAAGTAAAAGCAGAGAGATTTGAGAAAACCTGGAAAATTCAGAAGCGAAGGGGTACATACCACCTTGTAGTGTCTGGCAGAGTGTTTAGAAGCCTGGCCAGAGAAATAGGCAGACAGAGGTCAGATATCAGTTGGCTTTATAGAGTAGTAAAATTTTTATCCTATAGGCAACAGAGAGCAACCAGTGTGTATAAATCAGGAGAGTAATGTAGTCATATTTTCACTTTTGGGGAAAAAAATCCACCAGTATACAGGATAGATGATGTGGGACAAGATTAGAGTTACAAAAGAAAATGTTAAGGAGAATGTCCTGACCGTCCCAGTGAGAAATGATCAGGGTCCAAACTAAGATAGTAGCTCTAGGGGTGTTAAAGAGGGGATGGATTCATGAGAATCTAGTGATAAATTATATGGGCTTTGAGATGACTGGGCAGATGGTGCATTTACTGAGATAGGTGATAGATAGTTATTACATAGGGAACAAATAAAAGGATGAATTTCATGGACATCCTGAACTTGACATGCCTTTGTGAAGGGTGTCTGTAGTTTGAGAGAGAGTTTCAAGTGCCAGGATATGGGTCTCAGAGCCTGACATACATATACATACATACATACGTACGTACATACATATGTGTGTGATTTAATACATCATTAAATATGTAAATGCATATATAAAAGATATAAAATAGTTACATATAAAATACATGGGATTATCTATTTACCTACCTATCTATCCATCCATCTATCTACCTATCTCCTGGTTGAAATCATGAGATCAAGGACAGAGTCCTGGGGATCCCAACCTTCAATGGGTAAATGGAAGAATAACCATCAAAGGAAACTGATATAAATAAAACAAAGGAAGAAGGAAGAGGACCAAGAGAAAGTTGTCATAGAGAAGAAAGTGGCCAATCATATCAAGTGCTACTGATAGGAAGAGTAAAGCTGAAAACACTCCACAGGACTTATCATTATTAGAAACCTTGGTGAAATCTGGTTTATTAAAGACTGATCATTTCAGACACTTAACTGGCAAGGGAAAGGAACTGGTAAGATAACTGGTTAGTTGAGGGTAGGTAGAAAATAGAATGAATTTTTTAAATGACAGTAATATAGTAATAAACTGGGGAAATAGACACAGAGATTAAGACAGTTAATAAACTAATGGTGATTATGAAATATATAACCAAATAATTAATATTATAAATGTTTGTGATAACTTGTGGTATACTTAAATAGATATAGTACCAAAATACAGTACCAAGCCCCTAAGATTTATACCCATCATAAACACAGAAACTATGTGCTGGATTGAATTGAACTGAGTTTCCATTAACATATGAATTATCATCTTCTGTGAATAATTTAGAGTTTAATTTGTGCTTTTACTTCTAATGAAGGTCATCGGACACTATTTATTGGAGTTCATGTGCCTCTGGGAGGAAGGAAAAGCCATCGGCGTCATAGGCATCGTGGTCATAAACACAGGAAGAGAGACCGAGAGAGAGATTCGGGGTTAGATGATGGAAGGGAGTCACCTTCCTTTGGTAAGAATCGCCTTGTTTTAATTACATTTGTGACTGTAATAATATTGTACTTGTTTGTGCAATACAAATTAACAGTATACTTCATAATTATAAAATCATTTTTGGATGTGCTGGACAGATGAGGAGAAGAGGGAGAGAGAAAGCTTAATCTTTATTTTTCTCTTATGCATTTGCTTTGTGAAGATGAGACTGTCTTGGATTTATGATTGAGGAAAATACACTTAAATAGAAATTCTTAGTTGTACAAACTCTTGATAATTTATACAAATAATAGTCATTACTCTAAGTAGGATAACAGATACCTGACTTAATTGTTTGCATAGGAATTTTTCTATATGTGTGTTTGTGTATGTGTTTTGCAAGGCTGGTTAGGTATTCTTGCTCAAGTGTTTATTACATTGAAGTGGGCACTGAACAATATATAGGAGAGGAGATGGTGTACGCAGCAACCCTAAAGTGGAAAAAAGCATGGTATTTTTAAAAATCTGAAAGATGGCTAATATACTGGGAACAGAATAGGGAACAGAGTGGCAGAAAATAAGGTTAATGAGTTAAGTAGGGGTAGGGTCCTACCACAAACATTTATTTATACAAACTGAACTAAGGAGCAAGATAAAGACAGACTCACAGATGGAGAGCAGGCTGACAGCTTGGGGGTGGGGTGAGGATGGGGGTGGAGCGATTGAGCAAAAAAGGAAAAAGAGAAAGAACCTAACAATCCTATTCCTATGTACTTACCCTAGAAATATAAAGACTTATGTTTAACTGAAAAACCCATAGAAGAATACTTACAATAGTTCCATTTATAATTGTCCCAAACTGGAAACAACTTAAATATCCTTCAACAAGTGGATGGATAGGCAAACTGTGTTTCTACAATGGACTGTTCCTCAGCAGTAGAAACAATGAAACTGATACACTCAGTGACGCAGATAAATTTCAAAACCTCAAAGACATTATACTAAGTGAATAATGATAATCACAAAAGGTTATGTATTATATTTTTCCATTTATATGATATTTTGAAAAAGGAAAAACTGTAATAAGTAGAGACGAGATCAGTCATTGCTGGGGATTGGGGAGAGACTTGGGTGCAAAGAAGAGACTGCAAAGAAACATCAAAAGGGAGTTTTTTGGTAAGTTATACTCAGCATAGTGTTAGTAGAAGTGAATTTTATCATAGTCTACTCTTTGGGATATTTAAAAATATATATCGTATATGATGAGAGATATGTGTGAGAGAGATAGAAGTAGTTTTCATGAATGTTATAAATAACCCAAAATGACATTCACACTTGATTTTATTTTTGATAATATCTAAACACCATTTACTATTTTATTTATTCTCTGAAATTTTGCTAGGCTTAATACAATGCTAAATTTAGTGTTAACTCCCAAGTTTACTTTAGATGAGTGTAGTAGTGGGGGTAGGGCTATTGGAATGGTGATGAAGGAGGTGGCCAGGACATTTGAGCATGAAATCTTGGTAATGAGTATTCATGTCTCTGGTTTTCCATAGATACCCCTTCACAACGGGTACAGTTTATTCTTGGAACTGAAGATGATGATGAGGAGCACATTCCTCATGACCTTTTCACAGAGCTGGACGAGATTTGCTGGCGTGAAGGTGAGGATGCTGAGTGGCGAGAAACAGCCAGGTGAGGATTTTTGTTGAAGGGTAAATATATACTAAAGAATTTTCATGCTATTAGAAAAATGCTTTTCTGTTGCCATGATTTGGTAAACATCCATGAGTGCTGCTAATTTCTGAAATTGCTCAGCTGGCCTGGGCATATCCTATAATGGGATATGGGTCAGAATGAACTCTGAAGGCAGTAATTACAGTAAATAGTGATGCAGAGCCAGCAGCACTGCAGTCTTAGAGATAAACAGTAGCATCATTTGTGTGTCATCAGGAAAACAATAAAAATCTAAAGTAATTTCTTTCTTTCTTTTTGATTGCTGGCTTGTGCACAAACTAGTGATGTTATATGATAATTTCAGTGGGGGGCTTTTTAAAAGGAAGGATAAACATTATAAGAGGATTTAGGTATAATTTAGTGGTATATTTTAGGTAAAAATATATGTATATATTTAAGATTTTATTTATCTTTAAAGGGTAAGGGAAGGAGAGAGGGGAAGAAATGTCAATGTGTGGTTGCCTCTCATGCATCCCCTACTGGGAACTGGCTTGCAACCCAGGCATGTGCCCTGACTGGGAATCAAACTGTGATCCTTTGGTTTGCACACCTGTGCTCAATCCACTGAGCTACACCAGCCAGGGCAAAAAAAAAATATATCTATATATATCTATATATCTATATCTATCTATCTATCTATCTATCTATCTATCTATAATTTATTTCCATTTTTTAATTTAATTATTTTTCAAGTACAGTTTTCTGCCGTTTACTCCCTTCTCAGCCCACCCCCTGGCAAAATATATTTTTAATGTGTTTCTAGGCTATGTATACACTCAAATACTGTGGTTTTTCAAAATTATTTTCTAAAGATTACTTTTTCTGTCATTTGTAATTAATATTTCTATGTTGCTATATAGTTGAATTACTATAAAAAGTGACAAAATTAATTTTGCAGTTGTTTATTCTTGCTCATTTATTAATATTTTGAAGTAGTCTATTTTGTGCCATGTATAATAGATATAGAACAATAACAATATAATCTTAGAACTTGCCTTTAACAATCTCACAGACTAATTTGGGGACTTAGACAAGTAAGCAAAGTTGTAAATGGTCTATAATAAATTCTGTGATACAGGCATGCCCAGGGAATTGTGGGTATACCTAGGACTGTCACTCTGTGCTTCTAAAATTTTAATGTGAATACCAATCACATGTAGTCTTGTTGAAATGCAGATTTAGTAGGCCTCAGGCACAGTGTCAGATTTTAGCAATCTTCCAGTTGGTGTCACACCAATATTTTTGGGTTGAGGGCCACATTTTGAGTAGCAAGGATTTAAAACACTAGGGTGAAAAGCAAGTAACTTCTTAGGGGGCTTCTAAGATGGCGGCAGAGTAGGAAGATAGATCACACACCAGATTGGAAATAAAATTAAAGAAAAGAACAATTACCCAAGTCCAACTAAAGGCTACCTGAAAAAGAGAGTTAACCAGAGATGGCCAAAAAACCACCCACAGACTGGTAAAATGGCTGGGACATCTTAAAGGGTCCAGCCTACTCTGCACGCATGGCCAGTCGAGGAGGCAGCACAGCTGTAAGAGCCTCCCCATGAGAGGAGAGAAACTAGGACCACAGACTGGGTTTCCAAACACAGAGAAGCAAACACAGAGAGCAGCCCATCATGTAGCAAAATCAGGGGTGAAAGGCCATGGAGCCTTTCTCTGCTGTGGAGAGACAAAAACTACTGGAGACCATCTTACCATCTTTGTTTTTTCCCTAAATGGACAAAGCAAGGGGTTTTGCTCACAGGTACTCTCCTTGGGCCCCAGTGAAGAGAAGGCAGTTGGACCGGAGACACTGAAGGAAAATCTAGAGTGGGAGGCACTGGGGAGAGACTTGAGAGAGTGGCTGTGGAAATTTTCAGGGTGAGATATACATGGGCTCCCCAGCAGCCATCTTTCTTGAGAAAAGCTAGCCCTTCCCAGGGGAAAATCATTTACCTGGTCCTGTGGGATTCCATTCCACCACCCTCTGGAATCCTCTTTGCTCCTCCTTGCACTTTGTTTGTTCTGCTTTCAGTTTGGTGGGGTTTTTTTGTTTGTTTGTCTGTTTTTATTTATTTATTTCTTGTCTCCGATTCTGCATCTTAACTCCTGCTAAGGAGACAGCAACATAAACAGACTCAGGGGGGTAAAGAGACTGCCTGAAGTATGCAGCCAACCCATTCACTTTCCTGAGAAACAGACTGGCACTTCCCTCTCATGGGAGAGCCATACAAACACCCTATGGCATCTGACAGACCCAAAAACTGGGCTCGCAAGGCCTACTAGGGCCCTGCTCTGACAAGTACAGGGGAAAAATCCCAGACAGACTAGTAGCTCAGGGAGAGGGAACATACATACCCACTATCTTCCCTGAAGTTTGAAGGCATCTGCCACAGGAGATCCAGGCTGCCACAGGAGATCCAGGAATCACAGCCCACTGGTTCCATGAGAAGCCTTCTCAGAAATAGTTGGGTCTGCAACTAGCCTAAGACTGACAGCAGACTGGCTGACAGAGAAGGCAGATGTGGATCCTGTGGTGACATGGGACATTTGCTGACACACCCCCAGACCCAGTGCTGATAAAAGTCAGCTTTGCAGAGCAGCTTTGTCAATCCTGGGGACAGCAAATCCTGGAGGAATCAGCCATAAGCTATGGATTGATTATGGTTTCAATAAGGCTGCCAAGGGCAAGATGTGGACAGCGACTGACATTGGCTTACTACATCAGATGTTAGAGCTGCATTCAAAGGCAGATATCAGAAGGCAAGAACCAAACTCTGCTGAGACAAATTCACTTTGTTTTTTCACCATTTTCACAATTTTTTCTTTTTCATACCCTTTTCATTATTTTTGTATCTACTTTTTCCTTTTTCTTCTATTTCTGGTATTCTATTTTTTATACCTCTTATTTTACTTTCACCTTTGATTACTCCACTGTTACCTTCTTTCCTTTTATTATTTTTGTTAATTTTTCTCTTCCTGTCTTCCTTCTCCCTATTTTCCTCTTTTGATTCATCACTAGTTCTCTTTTCTCCTTTAATTATCATTTCTCTTTCTTTTGCTCTTCTCGTATTCTTTTTCCTTTTCTCTTTTTTCTACTATTCCATTTATTTTCCCACTTTTATTATTCTTTGCTCTTTTGTAGTTAATATTGCTGTTGTGGTTGGTGGGTTGCTTGTCTTGTTGCTTTTGTGTTGTTTTGTTTGTTCTGCTAGCACTTATACAACAGTGTATAAGATGGGATAATGGTTGAGCCTCTTAGTTAGCCAGCTAGAGGGGAGTTACCACCCATAAATGGGCCAATAACAATCAGGACCCAATTATAAGAGAAGAGTCTACATAACTCACACAAAGGATATTCCTAGAGCATCCAGAGCAGGAGATCAGGGAGTCTGCACTACTGGGTCTTACAGGATTTCTACTACATAAGGCTACTCCACAAGACAGGGAATCAAAGCAGATCAATCTAATACTTAGAAACAAACACAAAGAGATAACTAAAATGGGGAGACAAAGAAACAACCCTCCAGATGATAGAAAAGGAGGAATCTCCAGAAAGAGGACTAAATGAAGTTGAGGCAAGCAATTTTTGAGACAAAGAGTTCAAAGTAATGGTTATAAGAATGCTCAAAGAGCTTAGTTAGAACCACAATAAACTTAGTGGGAACTATATTAGTATGAAAAAGGACATAGAAACTATGAATGAGAACCAGGTAGAAATGAAGAATACAGTATCTGAAATGAAGAATATACTAGAAGGAATTTAAATTAGGCTAGATGAAGCAGAGGATTAAAGCAGTGAGTTATAAGACAAGGTAGAAAAATACAACCAGTCAGATCAATAAAATGAAAAAAAAAAGCTTTAAAAAGAATGAGGATAGTTTAAAGAAGCATCAGGACAACACAAAATATAACAATATTTGCATCATAGGGATAGCAGAAAGAGAAAAAGGGGAGCAAGGGTTAGAAAACCTGTTTGAAAAAGTAATGACAGAAAACTTTCCTAAATTGGTGAAGGAAAGAGTCATACAAGTTCAGGAAACACAGAAGTTCTCAATCAAGATGAACCTAAAGAGGCCTACTCCAAGACACATCACAATTAAAATGGAAAAATTTGAAGACAAAGAGAGAATTGTAAAGACAGCAAGAGGGAAACAGGTAGTAACATACAGTGGAGCTCCAATAAGGCTATCAGTTGATTTCTCAACAGAAAAACAATAATCCAGACAGGACTGGCATGAAATATTCCAAGTAATGACAAGCAAGGACCTACAATCAAGACTACTCTAGGCAACAAGGCTGTCATTTAAAATGGAAGGAAATATAAAGAGCTCCCCAGATTTTAAAAAAAGCTAAAAAAGTATGTCTCCACCAAACCAGAGCTGCAATAGAGGCTAAAGGGACTGCTTTAAGTAGAAAGAGAAATAGAGGGGGTGAGTGAGAGAGAGGAACGGAAGTACAAAGGGGAAAAATGGCTATGCATATGTACCTATCTATAATAACCTTACATGTAAATGGATTAAATACTCCAATCAAAAGACTAAGAGTAACTGAATGGATAAAAATCGTGACCTGCTTATATGCTGTCTACAAGAGACCCACCTCAGAACAAAATATCTACACAGGCTGAAAGTGAAGGGCTGGAAAAAATATTTCATGACAATGGACATGAAAAAAACTGGGGTAACAATACTTATTTCAGACAAAATAGACTAAAAAACAAAGGCCATAACAACAAACAAAAAAGGTCACTACATAATACTTAAGAGAGTAGTCAATGAGAGGATATAACCCTTCTAAATATATATGTACCCAATATAGGAGCACCTAAATGACATATAAAGAAAATTTTGAAGGATCTTAAGAAAGAAGTTGAGAGTGATATAGTCATTGTAGAGGATTTTAACACCACAATATCAACAATGGATAGATCTTCCAAACAAAAAGTCAATAAGGATATTATGGCATTAAAT